CATAGAATTGTTTCTCTCTCGCCTTGGGGACTTTTGAGTTGCAGGGCTCTGCCCAGAAGTTTCCAGAAATGCAGAGATAATCTCCCTAACCTGACTTTTGCTTTCAAAAGCTGGGGCTCCACAAGGGGACCGACCAGGTCTTCCTGGGGGGAGAGGATGGAGAACTGGGGCTCTGGGGGGCAGAGGCGGGAGGCCTGGGAGTCCTTTCCCAGGCCTGGGGAGGGGACAGGGCTTGTTTGCAGATCTCAGGAGACTCACATGACTCAGGGAGGCAGGAGGACCCCTGACAGGGTGACCAGGGTGCTGAGCACACTGGACTTGACCCGTGGTCTTTGGAGCCAGCCCCGAGCTGGCATGACACGGAGGCACTTCCAAGGACCAGAGGCGGATTACCTGACTGATAAGAAAGACAAGATGTGGTTTCCCTGCACCTGGGTCTGGAGACAAATTCACGCACGTTCCAGGGGTGGCTGCTGCACTCCTTCTCCACAGGGGCGCGCTGAGCACCACATAAGATGATAAGGGGACAGCACTTTCCAAACCATGAGGGGTTCTTCAAATATAACTGACCACTTTCATCAAGCACCTACTCTGGCGAGATGACATGCTAAGAATGATGTTGGAGGCAAAGAATATCCGAAGGACATTGGGATTTAATTCCCTGGGGAGATAAAGCATGTGCCAGGGTGAACGGAGTCTCGGGCAAAAAGGGGTTACAGGGTTGACCTATGAGGAATTTGTAAGGATTTTTCCACAAACTGGCTTCTGGCCCCTGACTTTTAACAACTTTGTCAAACTGTCTTAATCAGTACTTTTTAGGCTGCAAGTGATTGAAACCTAATTCATGTTAGTTCAAGGTCAGAGGGGACGTGCTGGGTCTCATACAGTGAATAAATAATGAGGAAGACCAAGACGCACACTATGGGCCAGACATGATTTTCGAAAACTGTCTCATTTAATCCTCACAACGATCCAATGAGACGGTTGTCACCCACGCTACAGCGGAGGTTATGGAGGCCCCGAGAGAGATGACCCTGCTCCAGGAGCCGGCCACCTGGCTCTACAGCCCAGCACTTAGTGCCACGCTGCCCGGCCTCTGGGAAAGGGGTCTGTGACTCCCTCCATCTCTCAGCTCTGCCTTCCTCTCACCTACACACTCTCCTTACGGCAAGAAGGTGGGCCACTGCCAACGGCGGCCAACCCCAAAAGGGAAAGAAAACCTTCCTTTCTTGGGGTCCATGCAAGACCCCAGGAAACTCTGATGGCCCCACTGGATTCATAAATCCTTTCCAGAACAACTGCAGTGGCCCAAGGGATCTGTTCTGACTGACCCTGGTGGGTGTTGCGTTTTAGGAAGGATTCCATGGAGTTAGGGGAAGGAGGCTCCTCAGAGGAAAAGCGAGGTGCATGGGTTACCACTTACTTCCCTGCTGGGGCCTTTTATGGGGGTGATGGGAGCCCTGCATTTATGTGTCAGAAGGAGGCCTCCAGTAATTTTCCAGCGCCTGTCTCTGAGACTTCGGTCCTAATCTTCAGCTTTGAAGGTCATCTCGTCGCCAGATGTTATTTCCTCTTTCTTCATCTGCAGACACTGTTTCCTAGTTCTTTCCTGCCACCTTTGGTTTTGTGCTCGTGGAGGAAAACAGAAATAACCTCTTTGCAGTGTAACTTTGCCTCTTCCTCACTTAGTTCATGCAATATTGCCTTGCATTTTTCTTTCCCTGAAGACATCCCTCATTACCTCGTCTTATCATCTCAGCCTCTGGGCACTTCGCTCTTCCTGCCTCCACCCTGCAGGGCACTCTCATCTCCCAGCCCCTCCTCTGCCCCCACATCCTGGCAGACTCGGAAGGGCGGGGGGGAGGGGGGGGCAGAGGAAACCACAGTGCGGGGGACATCTGGACATTGGAGACAGAATACCGTGGGACTCAGGCCAAGAGCAGGATGCAGAGACCATGTCCTCAGAGTGTCCCCATCTCCTCCTCATTCCCCAGCCTCAGCGGCTGGACAGGGATAAAGTGAACGCTCCTTAAAAATGGAATCTGGGGATAAAGTGCAAACCAGGCAACTGAAACTACATAGTGATAAAGGAAGCTAATGTCCCCACTGGTGATAGACTCGTGGACCTGCTCGCCCCCAGGACATCAGGCTGAGGTTGAGTGGCAGGAAGGCTTGTCCTTACCGGCGGTGTGAGTGGAGCACGGGAGAGCACACTCATTAGCGAGGAGAGGGAGTACCTCGAATAGGCGTTCAGTGGTGGACCCTGGCTTTTACAGGGGACACCGAGAAAACACAACTCATGCAGAGGAAGGTGAGTGGGAAGAAGGGGCCTCTGTGAAGCAGTGTTGGAGCGACCAGGGATGTTTGGTCCACAGAAGCGAAGGCCTGGAGAGAAATGTGGTGCCGTGATTGTGTGTCGAGTGTTGGAGGCCTGTTGTGTGATCTGTGACTGAGGAACACAGAGCACTCGGGGTGACAGGGAGATCCATGAGGCGCAGGCACTGTTTGCTAACTGCTTACTATTGGAACAGAGGTGCCTTCCCGTAGGAATTTCCCAAGCCCAGCCGGGCCCCCAAGTCTGCAATGCCTTAGCAGAAATTGCTAGTGGGGTTGGAGTCTGGGATGGACAGTCCTGTGGTGAGCTCCCTCGGGTTTATCTGCGTGGCACCCACATTTCTTCCCAAAGCACCCTAAAACAGCCTTGGTGAAGCACCCACGTCCCAATCTTTCTGCGTGGTTTTCTTGGGGCTGACCGTCCCTTTGACCTGCGGGGGACAGTGGCTGGCTGCCAGCTGATAGGATACAAGCCTGGACCTGCTGGGAGGGCCTTCCGGAGACAGCCCAGCAGAGGGGGAAGCCAGCCGACGGAAGCAGAGCTGTGCAGAGAGCTGCAGACCAGGGGCTGTGGACAGAAAATGGGTGCTTGGCCCGGGCAGGCCAGAAACCAATGCGCCCAGAACAGTGCATTACCTTTAGCTTTAGACACTTGGGGTTGGGTTTCTGTCACTTACGAGCCAGAGTCCAGACACAAATGTCACAGATCTGACCTTCTCTACCATTTGCTTATTCCCTGATTTGGCACAAGAGGGATGGCGTTAGCGAGGATTAGAATTAGAGCGCTTGCTCGGTGCCGCGTGGTGGGAAGGGCTTGCCATGCATGATTTCCCACGAGGCTGAGAGTATCCTTCCCCCAGTGTACAGATGTATAAGTGACAATGCTTCCAGAGGCCTGTAACAGAAAGGCCAGCAGCTCAAGCCACGCCAACAAGGAGCCAGCTTGTCACTGTCTTCCCTCTCTGGCTTCATCTGTAGGCTCTGCACACTGTCCCCCTGGCCGTTCCCAGGGGCCCAGCAGGCATCCATCGCCTTACACCTCCTGTTCCTGACCAGCCACTGCTGCAGATCACATGGCCTAGAACTGGGGTTGGGGGGTGGGGGGGAGGGAATTTCCAGAAGAAAGCTCTGCACACATTCTTAGGAGTGAGGAGAGTAGATGTCAGCGCAACAGGACCACAGCGTCGTGGCACTTAGCTGGCACTTAGCCACATAGCTGGGAGTGTCCAGCCAGATTTCCACGGAGACTCTCCGGGGCTGTGATCCCTGTCACCCTCCCCTGCCTTATGTCCTGTCTGCCCCAGGTGCAAGTGGTGGCTGCAGGGCCAGCCATACCCCGGGCCCCGGAAATGAGGCACCTTTTGGGCTAAACTCTCCCCAGGAGGTTTGTGAATTTGAATCCTCTTTCCAGAACATTCAGAGATTGTTGGCTTCCCTGTTCAGTACATTTGAGGTGCCACATGGCTTCCTGGGCCTGGCTCATGGAGAGCGGCACCTGGAAATACAGCAGTTGCATTCCCTTAGTCTGCTAAGGACAGAATAGAGCTAATGCATTGACCCTTCAAGTGAAACTATTCAGACAAGAGCAGGGCCCTGTCCCCCTTGAACTCATACATTACACCCCCTTTTCCTTCTTTGATGTGAGGGGAGAATTTGGCTATGGTCATCAGACCTGTGGGTGTGAAGTCCATCTGCCTGGCATGAAAAGCCTTTTGCCCCCTTTCTAGGTGAAGAGAAAGACAGGGGTTCTCTCATCTGAGGTGTGGTGGGGAGGGGTGGCCCAGGTGGGCTGGAGGTGAGAAGAAATGCCGTGTGTGGTCCCAACATGAAAGCCACTAAACAAAAGCATTAGCCTCTGAGATTGGAAGTAAAGAATGCCTTGTCACCCTGGTTACCAAGAAAGGGTCCCACGTATGTAATACGGGCTTTAGCATGATATTCCATCTGCTATTCCAGCCTGGGGCCAGATGAGAGGGTGCTAAGAGTGTCACTCCTCATGCAGTTACACGAACATAGTTGTGGGCCGGGTACTTGGGTGGGCACTGGAAACCCCACTCTGCAAAGACAAGCTTTTCTCTTTTTTGTTGGGGTGGAGTAGGGCAGGGAGAGCAGAGACCTGGGCACCTTCACCTACGCGCCCCTTTGTTACCAGCGCTTAGCTCTGCGACTTGCACAAAGCCATGTTGCATGTGTTGCCCCAGTGTAGGGGGTGTCACCCCAGATACGGAGCTGTAGTGGTGGGGGGCGTTGGAGGGGCCACCTCTTCTTTAGGCCTCACGCCGCTACCTGGCCCAACAAAGAAAAAAAGAAGAGACGATCCCCTGGCCCTTCCCCTCCCTCCTCGCACAGGCTTGGAGGTGGTGGTCCTGGAAGGGGACCCCGCTGTCTGTCGGAGTCCTGGGCCGCTGGCCCAGCCTCTGCGAGTTTCCGGCCTCAGAGGCTCCGGGGCTGGGCAGGGCCCACGGCGCCTGCCAGACCCAGCCGGGCGGGCGGCTCCAGGAGCGGGGATGCCTGCGAGCCCCGCCAGCCACCCCTGGCAGGAGCAAAACAAGAGCACGCGCACCTGTTGGCCCCGCCCCGCTCCCCTCACCGACCAATCGTGGGGCGCGAGCGGGACGTGGGCGGGGCTGGGCGGGGCGGGGCCGGAGCTCAGCGGCAGACAGAGACCGAGCCCGCGCAGGGCGCAGCGGCCGAGCCAGGAGCGAGCGCAGCCTCGTGCCCGTCGCCCGTCCCCGTCGCCGCCTCGTCCCCGCCGCCGCCGCCGCCCCCGGGGCATGGCCTGTCTGATGGCCGCTTTCTCGGTCGGCACCGCCATGGTGAGTGAGCGCATCCTTTGCTCCCGGGGCTTGGTTCTGTGTTCCGGGAGAGCAAGAGGCACGCGAAGCCCCGCACCCTCACCTGGACACCTGCCCCCGGGTCCCCGGGGAGGCGCCATCGCCCGCGTCCTGGGCACCTAGCGTTCTCCGTGCTTCTTGCCCCGGCCGAGCGCTCCGGGAAGGCGGAGGGGCCGGCACCCCACAAGTGTACAGACGGCTTGGACCCCGTCCGCCTCTGACGGAGGGGCCTGGGGCCTGGGCACCGAGAGCGCGCCGGGGATGGCTGCAGCCGGGGCCGGAGAGCGTCGCATCTTTCTGCCCGTGTGCGCGGCCAGTGCTCGGGAGCCGGCGTTTCTCGCGCCACCCTCCGGAGCACCGGGCACGGTCTCGGGAAACAAAAGAGGAAGCAGCTCCCCGAGAGAGAGAGCTTCTCGGGAACAGCCTCTCCCGGACCTGCTTCCGAGCGGGTGGCGAGGTCCCGGGCAGGCAGACGAAGGGCAGGCCGTCTTCTGTAGCCTGGCGAGAGACGGGTGGGGACAGGGGCGCTCGTCTAGCGTCTCCTGAGGGTACCAGCTCCGCAGGGGGACCACCGGCTGCCAGCGAATTCATGGCTAGACACAGCAAGTGCTGTTCCCAGGGGTGGCTAAGAGTCTCCTCTTGCTCATTGATAATAGCGCCGTCAACTCACATTAAGACAAAACAAACATTTCTATGCCTCGCAGGTGGGCACTGCAGTTAGGTACTTATGGACTAGATTTCAGATCATCTAAAGTACAAATAGAAAGTATTACGTATTCCAACCCATATCGCTCTCCCCATCCATCCATCCCTCTTTCCATCCTCTATGTATTTACTATCCTGCTAGTTCCTCCCCATAGGCCGTGAGCCCACAGCAGCACCGGTTTGTCCCCCCCCCCCTGCTTTATTTCATTTTTAGCATCCTGTATTGAAGTCAGCTGGGCTCCAAAAGATTTGACCGATAGTTACCTCTTGCCTTGAGCTAAAGAAAAAAAAAAGTAGCCCGGTTTCTGCGCATGCTCTGCTCTGCCAGTGGCATCCTATGATTCCAAACAGGTTACTGTAGAACATACCGCGCCTCGCCAGCTCATTATATAATGATTTTGTGTAAACCGATAGAATGGGGCCACGGGCGCCTTAAGGGGGTTGGCAGAGCAGGGGAGAGCCGGCAGCAGGGGGACTGGCAGGCGGGGTCCCATCTCTGGGCTTGCTCTGCCTTTAATACTTAGCTTCTTACAAATAAGGAGGGGATGGAAAAACAGAAAAGCCATTTGCTTTGGTCTGGTTGAGTGTTTGGGTGACATTTGGCAGTTCTTCCTTTTACATTTGCCCATCTCTTTGGGATTCCTCAATTATGCTGATAGTGGAAAATGAAGGCACTTATTTTTAATTGTAAGTAAATAAAGTTTCACAACTTTTAGATGCTGGGTAACGGTTGTGGCCCTACATAGCTGCAAAAGTGGCTTATACATGTGGGAAAGTAATGAACTGGAATGTTTTAAGGCATAGAAGTTTTTATGTAATGATGTTTAATGTTACGTTACGGCTTGACACAGTCCCAGGACACAAGTGCCTTGTTCTCACATGGGGATGCTACGGGCTGGGCTCGGTTTTTTGCAGGGCACATTGTTCTTTATGAAAATCATTTTCCTCCCTGAAAACCTTGTACTTTTTTTTTTAATTTAAAAACTTTCACACAAGTCATAAACAATGAGCCCTTCACGGATCCCCAGGACCCTGAGGTTTGCTGTACCATCGCCCCGGCTCTGGGGTCCAGCCTGGCTGACTCTGCCAGGTGTGAGTTTGTTTGGAGAAGGTGTCTTGGAGGGGATGCTGAGGTCCCTGAGCTGGGTGAGAGGGGTGGGCATGAATTCCCAATGGGATGGTGGCATTTGGGGCTGTTTAACGCGGGGTTCTGGTGATGGTGAGGTTGCATTCCAAGGGACAACGCAAGTGGCCTCTGCCCTTTGCTTAGAGCTAAGGGCATGCCATTTGGGTTATTTTCCAGTAGTCAGTGGCCTTGAAGATTTTCCTCTAGTGTGCTCAGGGAAGGGTCTGCTCTCCAACTGAAGAGTCTGCTGGTCTAGATGGGCACCAAGGCTGGTGGCAATGAACCAAAGAGAGAAGTGAGAAAGAGTGCGTGTGAACATCTGGCGCCCGTGGGTTCCTCTTCCCTTCCCTCCCCTCCCCATGTTGCTGCAGGGGTGTGCGTGTGTGTGTGTGTGTGTGTGTGTGTGTGTGTGTGTGTGTGTGTGTGTGTTGAGTTTCTATATCTGTGCTTCTCTGGATAAACAGAGTGAGACAGATGGCCTTGTGGGGGAGGGTGCTGCTGCCTGTTGGAGACCCTCACTAAACAGCTGTCTCTCTATGTTAGCATTCAAATGGAAGTCAGCACCCAAGGAAATATTATTCTCACCTACCACAGGCAGGCTCACCCTAAACAGGATCTCCTCACATTCAACACTCACAAATGGACTTACTGTCATTTACCACTTATTGCACAGCACAAATTGTGTGGAGTAGGGAGGAAAAGACGATGCTTTGGTAGGATAGGAAAACAGACAGTGGAAGGGAACCAGTGGTGGGGGGAAGATGTATTTGTTTCATTTTTAATGAGCTCAGAAAGCTAAGGACGGTGAGCTGTAACCTACATTGCCGGCCACTCTTCATCTGAGGATTGTTTCCAGAGAGCTGGTCTATTTCAAAATGACAGCCACCACCTCCCATCACAACAGGATTTCATGATTTTATTAATTGGGCGAGGCCATTGGACATCCGTAGAGGAAAGGTGCACACAGCTTTGGCATCAAGTTTATTTGGAAGTAGGGTTGTATGGTTTTCTGTTTCTGTTGAATTCCCTATAATGGACAGGGGCTGGAATGACTCAGAGTCACCTACAGCTTGTCTGTAGAAAGCAAAGCAACATTCAAGTGCAGGGTCCCATGCTGGCTGGGAGTGTGGGGCGCAGACATGGAAACTGCACAGCCCTGGACCCCAGCTTGGCTCCTCATTAGCCAACGGGTCTCGGGCAGGCAGGTCGGGCAGCCTCTTTGTGCCTTAGATCCTCCTTTGAAATGGAGGAGGGGGTGATGGTAATACCCTCTGCTCGAGTTGGGGAGATAGTAAGAGGCATAGTCTCTGCAGCATGGAGTTTAATGGGTGCATTGTGTTTGCTGAATCAAGTCATTGTTTATAGTCATTCACCTACTATGCAGGAGGCGTTATTATTTAATACTGTAAATAGTGAGAATTTGCCTCCGGCTTCTCTCTCTCCCTCTCTCACTCCCCAGTCAGCTCAGCACCCAGCTTTGTCCTGTGCTGCGCTGCGTGTTGCTTCTGGGTCCCCTGCAGGGTCTCGTGGACTCTTTACAGCGCTTCCCTCACAGTATTGTGAGCACCCGTGTTCTCGCCTGGGACCCTGTCTGGACCTTTAGCTTGCTGAGACCTTAGGCCACATCTGTCTGGCTGACCGCTGACCCCCAGGTTCTTTATTTGGTGCTCAAATTGTTGAATGAATGAGTGAGACACTAGACAGGCTTAGAGCCCAGGGGGGAAAGCCAGACCCTCATCAGAGAACAGGTCTGGCTTCTGCTACAGTCGGCGGGTGGATGGATGGAGTCAAGGCTGCCCGTCCCTGTCTTGGTGTAGGTTTCATCAAAAAGGAAAGCCGCAACCTGGACTTCCTCAGGGGATGGACACCTGTGGTGGGTGGCGGGTATGGAAGGTCCACAGCAGCTGGAATGCTGGGAAGGCCACCATTGGAGAGGACTGGGTGGATACCCCCTACCCCCAGCTGTGAACACACAGTGATTGGGGGTCCCTGGTTAGAGCCATCTGCCAGCGGATGTGGGTTTCAAGCCAGGTGGTTAGCCTTTGCGCTCATGTGGCAGGGTGGGGGTGAGAACGGACCTTGGGGACCAGACCTGCAGCTAACTGTCTTGCCCACTGCTCTCTCCACTACCACCCCCCTCCTGCCCCCCAAGGCCAGGGTTTGGTGCTTCCAGGGCAATTATGGAGCCAAAATGGATTATAAACCTGGGACAGCAGCATGTGCCCTGAAAGGGGATTTATCCAGTGAACAAAGGGATGGCACTGGGCGCCTGCACTGGGCACCAGAGCTGAGTTTGCACATTCTTTCTCAATCGGCCAAAGCCAAGAGCTGAGCTACGGCAGGGTCTCCTGTGACTCCCTCATGAGGCCCGGACACAGAGGCCCCAGGTCCTGTCGCTGCCCCTTGGGAACTGGAGAGGCACACACTCATGACCGGACTCTGCGGGGTCCCCTGGCCAGGCTAACACAGACCTTCCCTGACTTCCTGCGGGGACTGTATGAACCTATTTATGTTTGCCTTCAAACATTTCACATGCCAGCAGCGAACCAAGTCTAACTCCGTCCAAGTTTTATTCTGTACTTGAATTTTTATCCACAGAGTGTTATAGTCAGTGGGATGAGTTTTGATTTGGTTAAGCTTTTCAGAGGTAGGAGATATCTGGGTGTGTTTGTGTGTTTGCACACGCCTTTTTCTTAAATGGCAAAGCAACATTTTCAAACATCACCAGAACCAGAAACCCCTGTGCACACGTCTCCCCACCCCTCTATTTGTGCTTTAAATATTCAAAAGCACCAAGCCCTCCAAGATTTTCGAGCCCTTAACTACCACGATGGAAAGGATGCCAGCTCCCCAGCGATACAGTCACATACCCTCAGGAGGGCATTCAAATGAGGGAAGGGCTTGTTCTGGCCACACGAGTTGCTGGGGCTTGTTGTAGGGATCGTTTACGGATGATCCACTCTCTGAGTTTATTTCAGATTTTTGATTAGAAACAGTAATGATCAAAAAGCTATCAACTCTACAGAAACACCTGACAATCCTATGGAAAAATAACAGTGAGGTGCTTCCCTTTCGAGCAGTGACACTGCAGTGTCTCCCCTGTCATACCGCAGTCAGAAGGGCCTGACTTATGCACGAGGGTTACTGATGGGCTCTCCCATCAGCCGACTGCGTCACCGCTGCAAAGGAGCATCTCCAGAGGCCCACGCTTCGGGTACTGTGGAATGTTCTCTCTTGATTCAAGAGACAGCTAGAGAAAGCACAGCATATTTGTCCACCCGGGGGTTCTTCTGAGTTTTGGAGGTACCTGAAGCATATTGATTTGTCCAAGATTGCCAAGCCATTAGAAAAGGATATTCCTTTCTTTGCATAAATACTTTCGGTTCTTGGCTGTCTGTCAGTAGACTCCCAGTGGAAGCTTTAACAGCCAGTGTAGCTACACTGGTAAGTGATTCAGTGGAGGGGGCACCTAACAGATTTTGGGGTTTTTTTTTGATGACTTAGATTCTGGGGTCACTTCTGCCCCTCACTTGATTGTAGGGCTCAGAGCAAGTCCCTTAAATTGTCTGTGCCTCAGTTTCCTTGTCTGTGTAATAGAGAAAAAAAATATCAACCTTTTCAACTTTTTTTTCAGCGCTATTATTAAGATACAATGAGAGAGGAGAGGTGTATGTGATTTAGAAGAGTTACAAGGAGGGCCGGCCGAGTGGCGCAATGGTTAAGAGCTGGCTTGGGATGCCAGAGGGCCCCGGTTCAGATCCCACATATGAGGGCCAGTGACACTGCCCTCTAACACTGCCCTCTACAGCTAATATGCTGAACAACAGCTCAACCTGGAGCTGGGCTGCCATGAGTGGCCTGCGACGGCAGGTGGGTTGCCATGGGCTACCGTATGTAGCCAGCAGCCAGCTATGGGCTACCGTATGTAGCCAGCAGCCAGCGTGAGCGGCCAGCAGCTGCAGTGAGCGGCCGTCCAGAAGCCGGCGACTGATCTGCCTCGCCTGGGAAGAACGCAATGATGGTGCCAACTTGGGCCAGTGAAGCGACGTCCTCCACAACTGGACTAGACTGAAGAACAAAACGACAGCAACTTGCCTGTTCCCCTTCCCTCAATTCCCCAGCACTGTTCCCATCCCCCCAATTCCCCAATAAAAATCTTTAAAAAAAAAAAAAGAAGAGTTACAAGGAAAATACAGAGGCCGGCTCACACAAAACCCAGAAGGTCAAGTGGTGTCATTGCTCTTGAGAAATGTCGATGGGGTTCTACGAGGAACACACTAAAAGAGCTCATTTTAGAGAAAACTGTCAATTACACCTTTCCTAGGAGCCTCGTGTGTCTTTATGGGGATTTTTAATGAGTGAACTGTAAACAGGTAAATTTTTTTATGGTGGCCGGTGTTTCATGCTTTGAAACAAGTGATTCATTTACTATGGTTTTGTGATTAGATTTTATGATTCTAAAAGAAATATTAGTATCTTAAGCACTTTTAAGAGAAAAAAGTGATGGCTAGGGATGAGAAATTCCTCTAGGCAAGCACCTTTCTTCTCACCCCAAGGGCACTCTGTAGTTTGAGTAGTCAGTGACCTTGAGCCTAATGGTGATGCCCTTGCACTCTTTTCCTTGATGTAGCTTGTAACCTCTCCGGGTGCTTCCTCTCTCTTTCTCTAGAATGCCAGCAGTTACTCTGCATCAATGACGGAGCCCAAGTCCGTGTGTGTCTCGGTGGATGAGGTGGTCTCCAGCAACATGGAGACCACCGAGAAGGACCTGCTCAACGGGCACCTGAAAAAAGTGGACAACCATCTCACCGAGGCCCAGCGCCTGTCCTCCTTGCCTCGGAGGGCGGCTGTCAACATTGAATTCAAGGACCTTTCCTACTCGGTCCCAGAAGGACCCTGGTGGAGGAAGAAAGGTAGGGAGGGCGGTTGCTGTGTGTGGCCAGAGGCGGGAGGGGCCTGGGAAGGAAGCAACAGGCTGTTTGGGAAAATCTGGTTCTGGAAGTTGCGTCTGACTCTGTGTGGTCAGCTTATTTAAGTGCTTTGTGCCTGATTTTTTTTTCTCTCCTATAATATGAACAGGTTGGATTAGATGATTCAAACACCACAATGGTTTTAACATCTGATATGATTCCAAAGAATGTCACACAGTTTGGCCATCATCCATGGGTGCTGGTTTCCAGGGTGAATGCTAAGGGTCCTCTTCACTGGAGGCTGTTTATATTTGTTCTTTAAGATGAGACTATTTTTAATGTTTCAGAGCAAAATGGGAGACAGGTTTGAAGTGTTAAAAGGTAGTTGGTAACCTAGAGTGACCTCTCCTAAAAATATCACGTTTAAGGATCTTGAAAGGACTCTCTCACGGGTGGTGTTGGTACGCTATAAAGAAAAATACACTGTTGTCAAATGAGCCATAGAAATAAAAATACAAGGGACAGAGGACGGAACTTGGGAGATCTCTGAAAGCCACACAGCCCTGGAGCTGGCCACCAGCTTGTTGCCTGTTGACAAGAACTGATGACTGAAGGTGTTTTGAATTTTCTCAGTAACCTGGACGTTCCTTTGCCAGCCCTAGATTTTCAAAGTGTACAGAGTGAGCGCCCGCCGGGTTGATATTTCCTTTACAGCCTGACCTATTTCTTCCTCATCTCCCTCTGCTCCGTGCACCCACCACCCACCCATCTTTCAAGTGGTTGGGGGACCAATTGAGAGAGGACATGTTACATATCACCAAGAAACGATGGCCCCTAGCTTCTAATGACTTATTTAAAACATCGTGAAAATCTTTGAGGAATTTGGAACAATGGAAGTGTCTCGGGTACCACTGGAATATTGTAAATTTTTTAGGACTCTCAACTTATATCTAGATTCTATCCTTCTTTTTTATTGAAGAAGACCCACCAAAGCTTACTTTTTTATTCTTCATTTTTCTTTGTTTTCCTCTCTTACCTTCATTTTGTTCTCCTCCTCTCTTGAGGTTAAGCCGTTTAGACTGTTGGTGTGGGCACTCCTTGGAACCTGCCAGCCAAGTTGGTTGTTGCATGACTATGTTTGCACAACCAACCACGAACGGATCCCAAACCTTCTCAGCAGCTGGCTGTATGGTGCTGTTATCTGATACTTAAAACGTTTTCAGTTTGCCAGCCTGTTTTGTTAAGAAACTCTATGGCAGGCTCAGGGTTGGGCTCATTCAGTTGAGCCTATTGAAATGTCAACATATGGTTCTAGCGTTTTCCTTCTCAACTTGAAAAAAGATTTTACTGAAAATAAATGTGCACCAAGTGACCAGGAGGGCCTCGTTGTGTTTTGGCTTGATTTGTCTATGTAGACAAATTGTGGATAATCTGTGAGCAACGTAGATCAGTTTCTGTCCATCTGATACATGTAGTCTTGGAAACACTGTCCTGTTGGTTGAAAATGTTTGGATGTGTCTCTTCCCAATTGAAGATAGCTTGCAATGCAGAAATGCAAACATTTGAAAACGGTGGCAGAATTTTGGTTTGAAATCCACACAGCAGGCAAGTGAAGGATATAATTTCTTTGTCAGGTATGTGGCTTGTCAATGCTATATTCTCTACATGTTAAAACTGGTCACACCCATTGTCAAACTTAGCCAATGGCGATGGCATCTTAATCAATGAGGCAAAGGCCACCACTGTCCATTCCCAGTGGCCTCCTTGGAAGTTCCATCCAAGTCGCTGCTGCCAGATAGACATATGCCCTATAGTAACCTCTGTGGGCTCAGGATGGGGAGGAGGAGGAAGTGGGCCCTACAGACCTGCCCATGAGTCAGAGATGGTTAGGGCGGGAGGGGAAGCCGCGCACGACTGGTCTTCTGTGTCTTGGTTGCTGGTTTCTCGAGCTGTTGAGGCCTGATTTCTCCAGCTGGCTGGTTTCCTCCCCAGCTCCGTCTCCACCGCGGTGCCCGTGCTCCCTTCGCTCTGCCTGCCCTTCTTGCCCGCATGCCCCGTCACTTCCGTTCTTCTTGGTACCCTGCAGTTCAGAAGGTTGCTCACTCCAGCACCAATTCAGGGTGTGAAATACTTGTCCTTGTTCTCACTGAATAGAAAGGTAACTGAGTGGTTAAAGCTTGCCCATGTGCCGGAGCTGGCGAGGCTGACCTGGGACTGGGTGGTGATTTCTAACTCTGCAGTCTGACTTGCTGCCCACGCCTTGCCTGGCCCAGGGTCTCAGGGGTGCCAGGGTCCCCGTAAGCACAGGGAGGCAGCGCTTCTTATCCAGGTATGGTGCCTGCAAGGTGGGCTTTGCTGCGGCTTCCTGAGTTCGTTGCCCCATCAGGCTGGAGGCTGCATCCAGGAAAATCTAGAGTTTTCTCCAATGAGGCAAGCCAGCTGCCGAAGTTCTTGTCAGTGCTCACTGCGCCCTCGTCACCAGCAGGCTCTCGAGTGCTACACCAATTCAGAACTTGGGATCCTATTTTCCCAACTAAGTGGCACCCTCAGGATGAGCAATACAAGTCAGCATGAAATGTGGATCCAGGCAGCAGGCTACGGGGGGAGGTCCTGCGGGCTGGTGTGCGTGAGTCCCACTCACACCATTCCCACCCAGTTCGCTGCCCTGCTGGTCGGCCTCCGTGCCGCTCCTCAGGTCTGGTTCCTTTCCCTCAACGTGGGTCCTCACCTCTCCCGCTCTGTCCCTCCGACTGCTGGACACTGTCTCCGAGCCCAGCCACGATGAGGTTAAGCTGAGAAGTCAGGTCGAAGCCACACTCTCATTTCCCTTTTCTCATGGTGGCAGTTACATATTTGGCATCACCTCGGTGTGACACCAAGTGTGACCAACCCTTGGGGCAGGGGCTCTTGCTCATACTTTTCTCACCATATTAGTTTTGCTTTCCATACCAACTTGATTGTTTTTGCTTTCTGAAATTCATCTTTACATGTTAACCTCGTTGTAAGGACACACTGAGGTTGGATGACCCGGCATCATGGAGGGGCTGGGCGTCTCCGAATGTGAGAGCTGAAGCGCCTGGTTGTGTAGTGAAGGGAACAGAGCCCGAGAGCACAAGTGATTCGATCAGGGTCAGAGCCGGTGCTGGGTCCCGGCTGTCTCACTCCTAGTCCAGGTTTCTTTGCATCATAAAGATACTGGACCACTCCAGAAAATTCCAGGGGAGATTTTTCTTCACACCATTTCTCCCAGAATATGGTGCTCGACTCAAATTCAACATAGAATGCTGTAGCAAAGCTTGCATTGTGATTAGAATAATATTATAAACTCCTCCATAATTATTTTAAAGAAAGAAGACAGAGAGAGAGAACGACATAATTCTTAGAAGAGAGGTGACAAGTGATCAAGAGCAGTATTTTTCAGAGGAAGATGTCAGGCACCAATTCTTCAAAATTCTTGAGCTTGATGATTGCCAAGCATTGAATATGGTGTTTAACAAAACATCTTGTATTTTCAATTGTAGTTACATTTTCTCCATATGATTAATGATGTCTTTGGAGGAAAAACTAGATCATATAATAGATTCCTAGTAGGGAACATAATTGTGAAAGGAATTATTCCTAAGAGAAAAAAGTACACCCCAAGGATAATTTCACTGGCTTCTGACACAGTAATTACTTTCCCTCAAGGAATTCACTCACGTAGTATAAGTTGATGGGACAAATGATTTGGAACGACATGGATTTTGGTGTCAACACACCAACTATGGTGTCACGGAACGACATTTGTACCTCAGTGTGACTTACTTGTGAAGGTAACTTCTGTTTCCAGTATGGCAGACACCTGTTGGTAACATTTAGGACCCTTTGCTAAGAAGACATCCACATCCTGAGCTTGTAGTGAAGATGTGGATGGTGATAAGAAGATGTGATATCACAGTTAAGAAGTGGAGTGCTTTGGGTCTTCTGGATAATCTCCCCCCCCCCCACTCCCCAGGAAATGGAGCACTTTCCATTTGTGAAATTAAAGCAGGTCTTGGGTCCACTTGGCTGAGGGTCCAATTCTGCCCTTTGTACCCATGGAATACATGAGGTTCAGAGATATGTCCCAGGTCACAGGAGTACCGAAGATGAGAATTCAAGTAGGTCTGCGGGATTTGAGGCTAAGACCCAACAGGGAACCCAGTAAGCACCTGGCTCTGAGGTGAGCACACCCCATTTTATAAAACCACTAGGGATCATCTTGACTGTTAGCTCTGGCTGTTTTTCCTTTTAATTGGCCTGCTTGGATGTCAGTCCCTTCTGCCATTCATGAGGACACATGAAGGAATCCCTTGGTCCTTTGGGCAGTCTGTAGCTGTCCTGTCCCCTGACCAGAGGGGTGAGGCTGAGGCGTATGGCACACAAACAGGTGACATGATTCTTAGAAACTAAATACACCTCCCAGGATTACCTTGTGATGAAGTTCAGGTCAAGAACAAAAGTTATCCTATTTGGGGCTTTAGTAAGTTTTCTTTACTACCCTTCAGCCAGGCCACTGTCTCCACGCAGTGACACTCAGATGGGATGAAATGCCATCTCCTACTTTGAACCCCAACCCTCCAGCCCCCTCCTTGTCAATTGCCAGCAAGGAGTTAGACAATCCGGGCAGCCCCACCTCACCTTATCTGGTTTGTTCCTCAGCTATAAAAATGCATCTGAACACCCTTCTCAAATTCAAGTTTGCCTTTTCTTGATTTTCAAAGTTATTTCCCAAGGTCTGTAATGACGGGCTGGTTGAAATGAGTGGAATTGGCCATTAAAAAACGCCTTTCAGGAATTCCATTGAAGGAAGACCAGCGTCTAACCAAGTGCTGGGCGACTTGATCTAACCAAATGGAGCAGGGATGAGAAGGGTGGCCGGTCAAAGGGGTGCTGCAGAAATGCCCAGGTGGAGATGCGTTTTCAGGGGTGGGCTGCTCAGGTTCAAAGGGGACTTCTGCTCCCCTAGCATAAATGGATTGCTC